AGAACACACTGCAAGTCATTTCTGGTGTGAGAAAATTGGCCGTCCGCAAGAGACGTTGCCCAGGGAATGCCCGAATGTGTTACGATCCTGCTGGGTGGCTTCTCTCATGTCCCCACAACCTAGAGCTGACAGACTGGAGCTTACCCCATTTTACAGATTCGAGTTGGCAACCTTCAGGTCAGCAGTCCAGCCAGCACAAGGGTTTAACTAATTGTGCCACCACAGCTTCCAGTTACAGAAGAGTAGGGAGGTTGAAAGGAGCAGAATTGCAGAACCTCATAGCACTTTTTATGGGGCAGAAAAATCTTGACAAACTCAGGAGAGGTCCAGGGACTTCAGGTGGTATTCTGGGCAGAACCAAGGACTGCAAGAAAGAGATTTGGGAACATATACAGGATACAATTTGTCCACTCTTGGCACTGCTCCATCTAGCAGTGACTCATGAGGGTTTCAGGCTTTTCCAGCTTTGCCTGGAGATGTTAGGGAGATGTTTTTGTACCCAGCAATCCCAGATTTTTTTTCAATCTACAGCTGAGCTATCCTATATTAATGTTACCTGCAGTTTCTTGACAGTAATATCTGGCTGCCCTGTGAGGATTTTGTTATTGGTTTTTTTGTCCCAGACTTTCATCTGGTAGCGACTTTAATATTGATCAAATTCAACATTTATATTACTGTGGTGTGCCCCTCGGCCTCTTCCTAACCTTGCTGTAATATTCTATTTTTTATCAATCTTTGCCACATATTTTCTCAAATGCTCTGTCATAAAGAAATGGTCCCCTTTATAAAAAACAGTGAAAACTGATGTGAAGATTACCACTGACTTGCAAGGCCCCAGGAGTTCTCTCTACTAACCCACAGTGAACCCTTTCCACCTTTGCCATATAGTATTTGTGTCGTGGAGCAGCAATATTAGAGGGGATATTTTTGTTTTTACTGTAATTCCACTTTCATATGGGACTATAGAAGGTGAAGGCTTTGTTCTATCTGGTGCATTAGAATTTTGCATTGATGCTGAGTGGAGCATTGTCAGTGGGATCGTTAAAGGGACACTGAAGCTGTGGAAGTTGCACATGAGTTGCAACTTCCCATACTTTTGTTATAGAAAGATGGAGTCATTTAGTTATTCTTTCAAACACATGTGTACATTTTTGCCTTTAGCAACTCTACTGAAAATCCCAAATGTGAAAGAGGCTAATTGGTAGATAGTTACAAAGATGAATATGTGTGGGTGCATGCATGAATGTGTTCACCAATATCCTACAACAGCTACTTAATGTATACATAAGTTAGTAGTGTCTTCCAGCCTCAGTCTCCTATCCCACCTTAACAGACAAAGGTGGTATGTTCAGCTTCTGATTGTGGTGCTAGTAGGATAATGTTTCCAATTTCATCCCACTAGTGAGCTAAGCAGTATCAAGCAATTGTGATGAGGTCCTGATTCTGATTGTTGAAACCTTACTTATTTTGGTAAAGTGTTTCTCAACTACTTCTGAATGGTCTAATTAAAGAATAGGTTTTGACTTGGTGCCAATCTGGCCTCCTTTTTTCCTTATTTTAAGGAAAGGAAAGTGTAGAACTGGCCATGGGCTTTGTAGTTTCACAAAGTCTTTAGCCTCCTCACCAAACTACAACTACCAGGATTCCATAGCATTGAGCCATGGAAGTTAGAGGTATAATTAATTTTGCAGTGTAGATGCACCCAAAGTCTTTATTTCTTCATTTAAAATTCATTTAAAATTAAAAGCACAGGAAAGTTGCCATGGAAAAATATTTTTAAAGAAATAAAATGTTTATAATGCTTTTTAAAAAGCGACCTGTTTGATATTTTTTCTTGGATAAAGATATCTGTAAATCCTTTAATATAAATTCTAGCATGTGCTGTTATTAATATCTATATCAAAAGAGATCTTTCAGCATTGTGATTATTGATAGGATTTATTTGGGAGATTAATAGAGTAATTCAGTGGTTTCTAGCCATGTTATGCGAAAGTAAGCTTCAGAAAAGTTCCCTTTTCAGAATACATCTCCCATAATCCTCTAGTCAGCATATCTAGGGCATTGTGAGATAAGATCAAAGATGGCATCTGAATCCATTGACAAAGAGACCATCACCGTCACTGCCATGAAAGGAAAATCTGATTCCATTGGGAAAGCATCCAATTTTGCCAGGGCTTACTCTGAAATTCCCTGCAAATCCATTTATACTTAATCTAAGTTTGGAAAAGCATTAATCTTTTTTAAATCCAATTTAGAGATTATTGGTAAAAGTATGCATGCATTTTTCTTTTCTCAAAATATTAGTTACACATAAATGTAGATGTTTCAAAATGTGTATTTTGTGTTCCCAATCACATTTTAATTATTGAGAAGCAACATATGCATACTATATAGATACATTTGTAGATTTAATTCATGCAAATTTAGTAATCTTTGGTTCTCCAACTCTATGATCAAGCTCTAGCAAATGGGATTGCTGGAGGACATAGAGATCACTAAAGGGAAAACTTATCTAGACATTCATAGGTCTCCAGAACATATGGTCAACTTTCAATGGGAAATGTCAAGTTGGAGGACCTATAGATTCCTAGACAAGGGTTCTCAAAGGTTAAAAAATATTGGGATTTCTTTTTCATTTTCAGTTTTTTTTCTGTCAGATGGTCCTATGCCCCTACCTCTGATAAAATATAGTAAAAACCTGTGTTTTAAAAGACAAATGTTAGGGAAAGATTGCACAAAATAGACTACACATGAATTTCCTCATCGGTTGAAAACACATTAAGTCTTGTAAAATAGGAACAGGAAGAAAACAGGTAGGATTAGGAAAAGTGTCCATCAAATTGTATGCAGATGAGCACTGGCCAAGATACTAAATTGACCAGAATATACCATGAGTGAAACTCTGCTATGTCTCCTTACCCCCCCCCCCCCATGGACTCATGGTTTTGATTCAATAGCCTCATAAAAAGACATGTTGTGGGTGGTGGAAAGAGGAGGTGGCTGGAAAGGTAGCTATGACATATAGTAGAAAAAGACATCTTCCACCAACATCTTCCAGAGTCTCAGCAGATGATGTTATCAGTATGCATCTGGCTATATGGCATAGCCAAATACCTCTCTGATCCTATTGGGCTCCTTACCACTCACATAATTCCTGTTTGAGGAGGTTATCAGTTGCAAAACCACAAGTCCTGGGGGGGGGGGGTACATTTGTTGTGATGGATGGTGTCTGAGGACACCAGTCTCGACAACAATCAGAAAATAATGTGTGCAAGCATAGAGGGGAAAGTGTCTACCAGATGACCACAGACCACCTATTGCAATGCAGCCTGAGCCTTGCCACATGCACAATAGAGGACCTTCTTATAGCAACACCAGAGGCATTCCAAGTGGCCAGATACTGGTCAAAGGACATTTAGTAGAATGCCAAGTTTTTAAACTTTGTGTCTTCTCAAATACATTGGTTCGCTCCTGATACAATAAATAAAATAAACCAACATAGACCTCCTATGCTTGCACGTGTTAGTAACAGGATGCTGGCTGCAGAATCTTACAAATCAATCCAAAGCAAGAATGGGAAGATACAGATGAGATTTGAAATAATAGAACAACATGATGAGATTTGCAGGAAACCCATTATGTCAGCCTATTCTATAGCATGGTCAGAAATCATTGTGGGCCGTCTTTCTTGTTGTTTGCCTTCAAATCACTTATGGCTTATGGTGACTCTAAAGCAGACTATTATGGGGGGGGGGGGGGGGTGTGCAAAATTTGTTCAGAGGATGTTGCCTTTGTCTTTCTCTGAGGCTGAAGTTACCCCTAATGAAGGGATATATCTGATAAGAGTTTATATCAGTTGTTATATTAGCTGCGGTGCAGCTAAAACTACAGGAGAAAGGAAGAAAGAGTTTATTCCATGAGGAGAAAGAGAGAGAGAGAGAGATGACTGGTTTAGTAGGTTCCCTCTGGCTACAGATTTTTATTGCTCCACTCCACTGAGTTTGTTTCTGAAAAGTGTGTTGCTTTCATTATCGCTAATGCATGAGATTGCAACCACTTTATCTCTTTTTGATTTGTTTCAGTAACAGCAATCAAGAAAATACAGAGTAAATTTCTTATCAAATCATATCATTGTCACTCTCAGCATGTATTGTGTGTGAGTGTGTGTGTGTATGTGTGTGTGTGTGTGTTGGTGTATGTCCTATCTTCTCCTTCCAAAGGAGATAATTTATTTTTATTGGGATGAGAGTGGTTTATCCTTCAGAGTCCTCAATGTATTATTTTTAAATACAAAATGCCATTGCAATCAAAATAACCAAAAAAGGAGAGATGTAACATCAATATTAGGGGGGGAAAGTTGGATTCTAAAGAAAGCTACCCTATATACGAATGTATAAGTCTACTCCCTTTTTCCTCCATGATGTTACTTATGAAAGCTACCCTATATACGAATGTATAAGTCTACTCCCTTTTTCCTCCATGATGTTACTTATGGCCTCTTTCAATGACAGAATGGGGAAATGGTGGTGGCTGCCAACGGCAGTTGGCAGTCAGCACTGGTACTCTCCCCTCTCCATGCAATAATCCTTAACTTATCCATGTGTCATATATGACAGTTAAATTGGTGTCACACTGCAAAAATCCTGGAATGTAGATTAATATTTAGTGATCTGGCAAAAATTGGAAATCTCAGAAATTTAGCTTAAGAAATCAAGAGGGTCTATATGACCCCCCCCCAAAGTCAAAGAGTCTTTGCCTGGTGTAGGTATTACCATGAGCAAACTTTGATATATAACTATATAGATATATGGACATAAACAGTGTAACATTACCTATTTGTCCCTCTATAATGCTAAAAACCGATGTTAAATGATATCAGAAAAGATTTGAATTGCTTATAGAATTCCCCAGAAAGCTTTTACAGCCTGGGGCTTTGTTTACTTCATTCTCAGCTCAGTAATTATTTGTTTGATTTCATTTTTTGTTATCTTTTGATTTAGACATTGCTGCTCTTTTTGCAAAAGCTGAATCCCGACCCTATCCAGGTAAGTATGAATGTCTGTTTCTTTGGATTAGTCTGTGGTATAAATAGGAGTCCACTAGTGTATATGAGCTCAGACTATATTACGTTTCTCCTCCTTCTCTTCCTCTGTGACCTCTTTCCCTCTTGGCACCAATCCCTGTTAAAAGCTCCATGACCTTCACCCTTTGCAACACAGCTAGTATTCAGTGTACAAATTGCTGCTGAGTCAAATTGTCATATCTCTGCTGTTTCCACAATATCTGCAAATTGCAGTGGGCAGCAGTGAGAGCCTTTTCTCACTTCAAGAGGATGGGCCATGATCTTTCCTAGGCTATTGCAATTTGGAGAGCATCTCTAAATTGCAAAGCAACCACGTAATGTGATTCCCCCTTCTCTTTAATCTGTAAAGAGTGAAAGAAGTCTCTCCATTGAACTTCCAAACTTTTCTATCAAATAATGACACAATTGTATTTATCTAGATTCAAAAAAGTTTCTGTATCATCTACTAACACACAAGGGCTCTCAAAGCAATTAGCAAATAAAAATAATTCAAACAATACCAAGCACAAATCTCTATATGTCCAGATTGTGATCCCTGAGATTAGGCAACAATCAAATTCAGACTGGTTACTAGTGACAGCTGATGGCTTTTCCCTCCAATAGTTTGGTGAATCTACCCTGAATTTTAAATTCAAGTCTACTGCCCAAAGTATGAGTGCATATGCACTGTACAATTAATGCAGTTTGATGCCACTTTAACAACCATAGCTCAATACTATGGAATATGAGGTTTGGTGAGGTGCCACCACTTTGTCTTTGGCCTTTGTCAGAGAAGGCCAAAGAGCTTGTAAGATTACAACTCCCTTGATTACGTAGTGTTGAGCAATGGGAGTTAAAGTGGTGTCAAACTACATTATTTCTACATTGTAGATGCACCATATAACCCCCCAGTTTTATTCTTCTACACATTGGCCTCTAGCTATTGCTGATTTCTTCAAAGCTAGACAAACTTTGTGCATAATTGTCATAGACTTGGAGAACTATCTTGTTGATATCTTTGCTGTTATATAATCATGTGCTAGTGCTGATTGTTGTGGCTGATATTTTGGTCCCCACCTCAGTGTGCCTTTTTGTCATTGCTGACACTTGCATCCCTAATGAGCAAAGCTCTAATGAGCAGCTTTCCCGGCTTTCAAAATGACAGCCTGAAATAAGTCTAGCATAGTTTACTTTGAGCTCTTCATCTACTGTAGTGTTTGTTTCACCAGTTACTGAAGACTGGATGTTTCTCATTGATTTTCATGGTGACTATCAATGGAAAACAAACCTAGGGACCTATTTATTCTATGCTGGACTTGACAATCATCTGGGACCAATTGGGGAAAGTATAAGAAAATCATTGTGAAACAATGTGTTGTGACAAATCAAGTAGTCTCTTCCATCAGCATTGCTTATTTGCCAAACATTAATCAGGTTATGCATATTGAAAACTTCTGAGGGATTACATGATGAAAATTTGATTTCTAAGGATGCATATACTCCAATAATTAATGCAATTTGTGACCACTTGAACTGTCATGTCTCAATGGTATGGGATCCTGAGAGCTTTTAGTTTGATGGGGCACCAGCACTCACACTTTGGTAGAGAAGGCAAAAAATCCTGTAAAACCACAACTCTGAGGATTCCATAGCATTCAACATGGCTGTTAAAGTGGTGTCACACTGCATTAATTCTACAATGTAGATCCACCCTAAAAGTACTATTCCTATTTGTGGGTTTTTTTTAAAAAAAAATCTTGGATTCAATAAAATCTTTCAATAGGCTGCAATGACAACAAAAAAAACTAAAAAATATAGATTAATGCAAAGTTTGAGCAACAAATAGAACCAACAGTGATTGATCAGATTATTAATGACATCTCTTATCTCCCACCATTCCTTCCAGTACAAAACTCAGCTTTTGGAAGGAGATTATTGCTACTCTATGATAGATTTGGAAAACATAATGCATTTACAAGTTGTGTAACTATGCTGGCTACATTATATTCAAAATGCTCAAGATCAAAATTTCTATCTAGACCCTCCACCAAGCATGATTGCTTTAGTATCACTGTTAGCTGTGTCATCTACATACTTAACAATGTGGAAGAAAGTGTACCTTTGTGTTCTTTAGGAAAGTCTAATATTATCTTGGCTAGTTTTTCAATAATCTATGGTGCAGACACGCCTTAAGCAAAAAAGGGAATGCCTTGCAGTAAGCTATGGCTCTGTGACCAGCTTTCTCATTGCTTCTGACTAACAGTAATTCACCAGTTTTTTTTGTTGGGTTCAGGGAGTTTTGCCACAATGACAGTAAGGATGATGGATGAAAAGGGACTTATGCCTCAGTACTATTTCCACAGGGGTAGAGAGCAGAAATTCAGTGTCAGCTCACATTAGAGCTGACCCCAAACCACTCATTCTGAATAATGTTTTTTTCTTAAGCTCTTCCTCAAAATCGCATGCTTTTTTGTTGGCTGCTACCTTAGATTCTGTTATAAGGAATAAATCTCCTTGAGCTCCTTGGGGATTCCTCTGATAGATCCAGGTGTTGTTGGAAGAGGAGTAGAAAGAGGACGAAGACTGGTTGCCCAGGTTAATGGGAAATACTTTAAATTATCTTAAAATGTTTTGAAGACTGTGTTAATCTTGAAGGGTGGCTAAGATGTATCATGTGTGCCCGTGTGTGTTCTGGAGTCCTCATTAGATCCAGAAATTGACCATGCTACCCAGAATTCCCATCCAAGTGGCTAAGAATTTCTGCAATCTGAAATCCAAAAGAATAACCTTTATAAATAATAATAATCATCATCATCATCATCATTATCATCATCTTTATTTATACCTCACCTCCATCTCCCCAATGGGAACTCGGGGTGGCTTTCCAAGCTCTCTTGTAACAGATGCCCTCATGGGGTTTGCTTCCAATACTAGCTATTCAGATGTTTTTAAGGAGTGTTGCTCTTGTTATGTGCCTTCAAGTCATTTCTGACCTATGACAACCCTAAGGTGATCTTATCATGGTGTTTCTAAGCTCTCTGCCAAATGAAAGATCTGTGTATTACTGGGTTTTCTTTCCATTCCAATCTATTTTATATGCTTTTGAGGGACACGGTTGTTGATGACAATATTGTTGTTGTGTGTCTTCAAGTCATTTCCAACTTATGCCAACCTTAAGGTGAAATTGTCACAGTTTTCTTGGACTGAGAGTATGTGATTCTCCCAAGGTTGGCTAGTGGTGGAATCAACTTGAGCTAAGAATCCCTGAATTGTAACTCCATGCTCAAAGCACAAGATCATGCTGGCTATCTTAAGGGGTTTACAAATAGACAGAAAAGGCCATCCATTCAGTCACTCCAATATTTAGAGACAACCTGCCTGTAATATGGAGGATCAATTCAGACATAATGTAGCATCTCTGTTCTTTTCCTCTTCTCCTGCCTCAACCTGAACTGTCTCCACTAAATTATTCATTAAGTTATTTTAACTCCTTAAGTTTAATTATTACCTTTTCCTGTACAATGTAAAAAAAAAAGGATCCAGCTTTCACCTTATCTTTTCTTATCCCCTCCATTCTCTATATCATGTTGATGAGGAAAATAATTGTCATCTTCAATGGTATATTGAGTGACATTTTCTCTAAAATAAGGAAATGGAAGCTTACTGTCAAAAGATATGAAGAAGTACACTTACTTCCCACAGATGAAAGCCATCATTAGCTGATAAAGAGCTGTGTTTGCTGTAATTTTCAACTCAGTCTTGTTTCTCTTGGAATGCAAACTGCTGATAATAATGAACAGTGAGTTTGACCATATTCACAGGTTTAGCTCTGCAAGCTTCCTTGCACTGTCTGGAACAAAAATCTCTAGGGATAAATAAAGCAAATGTGGTTCCTGTTTGTCTGCAGAACTGAGTGCATGAATTATGCATCGTTCACTTATTTGTAATATATTAATTCTCATGTTCTACAAACATCTGAAACAACCAAGGTGGTAGACAGCATATTAGAAATGATCAACAAATACACATCCTAAAAACAAATAGGTCATGTTGTGAATGCGGGAAGATTTCCAAGTTGCAAATCTTACAAAAATGGAGTTTAGAGCCATTGTGTTGCTCAATGTTTTGCTTTATAGCTCTCATAACCTCTTATATTGTGTACAGATAATCATCCATACACTATATGGAGTTGTGACAGCTATAAAGTGATATAATGTGACTTATAATGTGACTTGTAAGCCAAAACATCCAAAGGGGCAAGGATTCTATGTTTGGGTTAGCAGTGTGATGGTGTCCTGGCAAAAAGCTCAAAATATGCTAGTCAACATCATGTGATGTAGCATCGAAGGGCACAATAGTCTATTGGAAATAAAATATAGAACAACCTATAATGCAGTATTATTTTATATTTCTGCAGATGAAGAAAATGGTCATCTAGTGAAACTTGCAAAACAACTTATTTGCTGCATTTATGTCCAGCATTTATTCCCATGAGCTCAAGGCTAATTTCTACCACCTTTTCCTTTCTGCCCACAACAGATCACAGAGACAATACATGATTCACCCAAAATCACCTAGTACTTACGGTCCAACTTTCCTAGTTTGTCAGGGACAGTCCAAATCAGTACAGCCCTGCTTTTTCAGCTGCTTTCACAATGTCTCAATTTTAGTTTCTTCTTCTGAATCCCCTCCTTTTGTCTTTGGCTTTCTTCAATGGAAGCAAACTGTGTTGAAAGTATAAAAGTAGTGTCCATTCAATTAACTCAGCCGAGGGGAGTAGAGAAGTGAATAATCTTGCCCTTCCCAATAGACTGAGACAAAAGCAAACTGATCCAGTTCAAGCTAGCTTGTAAGTTCTTTTAATGTTTTTAAAAATGAATATGTATGTAGGATATCACAATTCACAATCACAACACTGAAAAGTCAGAAGAAATAAACAGGCAATGATTTTTCATTAAATTCTCATTTGTTTTAGTATATCCT